CGCCCCCGGCCCCCGCGCCCGCGCCCGCCGACGACTGGCTCTTGCTCCGCTGCCGGAACTCCTCGCTCAGGGCCTTCATGGCCTCCAGCAGGGTCTCGTGCATGTTCTGGGCCACCACCGAGTCCTCCACCTGCATCCAGAACTCCCCGGGCCCCGTCACGGCCGAGCGGCCCACCTCCACGAAGAAGAAGTTCTCCGAGTGGCCGCAGCGCCGCACGTTCATCAGCTGCAGCACCACGGCCGCCGCGTCCGAGTTGAGCTTGACGAAGTTGACCGTCTTGTCGGTCAGGCACAGCCGGTAGATGCCCACCAGGCTCTTGGACTGGCCCAAGCCCTTAGGCCACACTTTCACCTGCCACACCTCCTTGAAGGCCGGGCCGGGAGACAGCGCGCCGTACTCCGGGCTCTCCCCGAGAACCTTGCCTGGAAAACACAGCGGGAGGAACAGTCAGGGACAGGGAGGAGAGAGTTCACTCCCCAGCATTTTCTATCCTTTATTTCAGTCTGTTGATGTATGATTTTGCACAACTGATGTTGTTTTGCAAATGGCCTGTTGTTGGATTGTTGTTTTGTTCTTTTTTGTACTACTGACCATCTGAGAGCTAGCTAAATAGCATTTCGTTATACCATATACCTGTGTACGAGTACAATGACAATAAACCGGGGCGGAGTGGTGGCTTCTTGGCTCAGGATCTGCAGCTGGAAGGTTGCCACTTCAAATCCCGCAGCCGGCAGAGGAATCCTACTCCGCTGGGTTCCTGAGCAAGGCCCTTAACCTCAACTGCTCCAGGGGCGCCGTACAATGGCTGACCCTGCACTCTGACCCCAAGCTTCTCTCCCTGTCTGTGTGTCTCATGGAGAGCAAGCTGGGGTATGTGAAAAGATAATTCCTAATGCAAGAAATTGTAAAGGGTTAATAAAGTGATTAACTTGAATTTGAGATGAACAGACCTCTACTGTGATAAGAGCACCCACCGCAGACAAAAGAGCCAAAAACAGCCCCCTGTTCGCACGAGTGGTCTGCAACTCTTCAGAAACTCACTGCCTTTCTTCTCCTGCAAGGAAGAATGGGCAAGAACTGACAGGTCTTCCTGAGCGGAGGGGCTTTTTCCTGCCCGATTTGGCTCCAAACATCCCAAACTGTTTGTTTTTTTCACTTCTCTTCTGGGTTGTTTATTTTGAAGCTCACGCCGAGCTCCGGGCACCCCATCGGCGGCGGCCTCGGGCGCCCAGTCTTTTTGAAAGGGCAAGGAACGTTCTCGGGACCCAGGTGTCGAGCCCAGGTCAGGTCACTGAACGAACGCGATCAGCGAGCCCCCCCCACCGAGAGAGCCAAACGACGGCCGCAGCTGCACTCAAGAGCGCCAGGGCGGCCGAAGTCAGCTGATCATTGAACTGGCTCAGTTACGCCGGGCGCAAGCAGAAATAAGCACCGCGGCTGTCCCTGCCCGAGACCAGGAGAAATCCTCAATTCCAAACGCCAGCAAACCGCCCCTCGGCCCCCCACAGCTGCACCGCGCTGCCCACGCCGAGATCTGTCTCTCCCGCACCCCCAAAGTCACGACGGCCGCAAGCCAGCGCGAAACAGACTGGAATCTCCCCCCAGGCTTCTTGTGGGAAAAAAACTACACAGCGGAGAGGCCACTTGCGCGATCGTACGGCTCTTCCGCAGGCCTGGAAGTTAGAGGCCTCTCTGGCCTGCAGCAGAAAGGACAGGGAGTGGACATCATGCAGGAATGCTCAGGCCACGGAAGGACAAACAGTCCATCATCTCCCTTTGGCCCGAGATGACCATCTGGTGTCCTGCAGCTCCGATTTAGACTAATTTAAAGGGATTTCCAATGACTTTTCCCTTCAAACGCATCTGAAGATGGCAGAAGCCCACGTCTTTCCTTTTCTTTCCAGAAAAGTCACCCCAGCAGATTTTCTCCGGCAGATTTTGGCTTTGACAGTAAAAACGGCAAGGGGGGAGAACTTAAAGCCGAGGGCACAAAGCGCTGCTTTACACAAAGGGTGGTGGGGGAGTGGAACGGCGGGCTGTTGCTGAATCAGATACCTCTGGGATCCCTTCAAGAAGCCCCCGGAGAAGATCCTCTGGATCAAACTGGCTGCCGAACCTTTGCCAGCAGAGTGACTCAGTGATCTCCAATCTCTAAGCCTCCTCCTTTGATCCGAAACTTCACGCACTCTGGAAAGTGCTACCATGAATGAGGTAAATCTGGGAACTAGATGTGAAAACACTGGAAAAACCGATCCTATATGCAGACTCTGCACTCTCAGAGCTCCGAGCCAGCCTCCAGGCACTCTTTAATAAGGGAAAAGTAAATAAAAGCATTATTTCTCTTAGCAGAATTGAGTGTACAGAACAGGCAATCAGAACCATATGTATACTACAGCACATGTACAAATTGAGGACAGTCTTCTTGGACAGGATTAGACTTGTGTTCAGGCTGTAAAAATAGCCAGGCACGAAATAGGAAACTTGCATTTTATAAATCACTATTATTGTGTGTGTAGGAGCCAGAATGGCTTCTCTGTTCAAGCCTTGGTTACGGCATATCGAAAACATTCAGGGAAAAGAGGACCCACCATCTCACAGCATGCGGTGGGCGCATTCCTCAAACACAATTATATGGTAAAATGAGCTATTCTCCCGAAACTCTTGCCTTCAGAAAAAATCTAACCACATACTAGATCTTGGAAACTTATGTCCATAAGAACATATTAGAAGTTTATATATCTTAAGACAACTGACACAGTGTGGACCTAAGCCTTCGGTGTGATCGTCTGCATCAGGCCCTACACACATCACATAAGACTCTGGTGCTGCTAATGCACACAGCAGTGGTGTGTTTGAGCGTGCTCCACTTTGTGCCCCGTGATTTGCTGTGTTGCTGCAACACAGCAGGGTTTCTACGCCACCTTTACTGCAGTGAAGGACAAACAGTACATTATCACTTGGCCAGCAGTGACCATCTGGTGTCCAGCAGCTGCGATTTAGACCAATTTAAAGGGATTTCTAATTACTTTTCCCCTTTAAACGCACATGAAGATGACAGGGGCCAACGGGAGAAACTGCTGGATGGTGTAAAACTTTTCTTTCCAATCTCCTGATTTCCAGCACCAGAAAGAGTGTGACCCACAAGCCATGCCCACTGGGACGCCCTGCCTTCTCTGACCGCGGCTCCCGGTTACATAATTAACTAATAACCCCAAATTGGCCAAATAATAGGATTACGCTGAACTCTTTAACGGTTTTCAGTCACCTAAACGCGTCTGGTGTCTTAAATCTGCGTTACATAACCTTCAGATCTCCAACGTTTGGAAGAGATAAAAAAAAAAAGAAAAAGTTGCGATCAAGTTCCGTTCAGGGATCGGTTAAGTAACAGGCTCAGCTGGAATTAAAGCCAGCAGGGCTTTCCAGGACTGGTCCGGGAAGCTGTTTCATCTCATCCAGCCAACGGCTTCGGCGTTTCCGAGCACCGAACCCGGCATACGAATGTAAGCAACGACCAGCCTGTGGGGCAGAGTCACGGCGGTTCGGAGTGCGCAGGCTGACACAAGGCAGATGACAGAGGGAGGAGAAGTTCCAGCAGGGAGCTGTGTCAGCATGCGCAGGCTGTAAAAGAACAGGCAAAGGGTTATTCCCAGCCGAAAGGAAAAGGCACAACGTTTCGGCTGTGGAGCCTTCTTAAGGTGTCAAGCAGCCCCACGGCCGAAACAATGCGTCTCTGTTCTTCTTAGCTGGGAATGAACCTTTGCCTGTTCCTCCGAGAGAGGGAGCAGGTGGGATGTGACCGGAGGAATCGGGAGCAACTATAATCGGAGCGCAGAGCTCGCCTGGGGCGGCCCGGACCGGAGGGGCCTCGCCAGTGCGCAACGCCAACCCCGCCCAGGCGGAAACAACATGCCTGTACCAAACCGAACGCCCCGTTGGCTTCTGAGGGCCCGACGAGGGGAAAACCGCTCGGCCGAGCCCAGCCTCACACGCCAAGACCGCTGTACCGTGCCACCCTGCCTCTCTGTTTTGTTGCTGTTTTTCTGCGTTTCCGTTTCTTCTCCTGCCTGCGCTACACCGCAGCAGCTCCTCAGCCTTGTGGCCACCTGAGCCACTGTGTCTCGGGCAGAGGAGCTGACGGGGGCTGTACACCCACCCACCCGCCCTCGGCTTCTCCAGGCTGCTCGGACATCGGCTGCTCAGGTCTGGGCTACAACGGAAACGCACGGGCTTCCTCGCTCTGGTTCCCTGTGGAGTTCAGGGTAAACTTCAAATCCAGCCGCTCGCCTTGAGGGACTCGAGCGGTTTTCTGGCTCCCGACTACATCGGCGAGCTGTTATCTCCCAGCACGCCCACGCGGCGCTGGTGCTCTTTGGACTCTGGCCTCGTTTCAGTTCTGGAAGCGAGCCTCCGAACGCTGGGAGACTGCTTCCTCTTCTGCCGCTACCCAGGCTATCGAGCTCCCTGACCCTTTCAGTTACTGCCAGGCACTTCCCAATCCTGTCTCAGCACTCTTTTTGTTTTTTAAACACAAGCCTGGAAGTCTTGGGTTCAATCCCAGCCAGGGGTACCTTCTGGATGGTGTCTGCATGCTCTTCCCTTTGACGTGTTGCTGTGCCAGGCTCCTGGTGAGACGTTTTTTTTCTCCCTGGTCACAGGCATGCTGTCTAGGTTAAGTGACGTCTCTTAAAACTGTCCAATATACCATGTGTGTGTGATTGTGACAGAAGATCCTTATGACTTAAGAGGAATGAGCCAGGGAGGCAGCTACATGGGTGAAGCTGGAGAGGAGCTTAAAAAAATGAGCGGAGAGCTGTGGGCTGTAGGTGCATATTTATACAGTATGTAGGAGTGCAGATGTGTGAGATTTTGACCTCCCCCCGAATCTGTTGAAACAACACCATATGTAGCGGTAATTTGCATAATTTGGTAATTTGCAATTATTGACTCAATTAACAAAACAGCTTGAAACAGTGAAAACAAGAGGGCACTGCGGGTCTGGGGAGACAGGAAGGCGGAGGAAAGCATACAGACACCGAGGGCAGGGAGCCGCGGAGGCCGGGGGCTTCAGTGGTCAAGGGCCAGCTGTGTCTCCCCCAGAGCAAGTCTCAGAACCTCTGTGCGCCCCAGCCCTTCAGACAGAACATCAGAGTCCCATTGTCAGTGAGCAGGCAATGGCAGGGACAGGCGTTACATCCGTCCCTCCCCGTCGCATGTCCGTGGAATAAGGCTTGAACGACAAGTCTCCAAGCAGGAGAGTGCACACCATTCCTTGAAGCTCAAGGCATGTGCAGCACACGCAGGCCAGGCCGATGGCCGAGCAGCGAGGATAACGCGGACAATCCGGTCACACGCCGGATCAGGCTACACACAGACCGGCACGCGGGTGCCCGTTCCTCGCAGCAGCCAGGTGCCCCTAAATGTG